TGACCAGCTGTTAAAGACACACATGAACAAAATGAATGAGATTGGTAATATAAGAAATTATAAAATTTCAAAGACTATCTAAACAAACATAGCTATCAGTATAAGATACCTTATTTTTGCATTTCCTAATTTGCACATAAGTAGAGGAGACACTAGAAGTTTGTATTTGGTGACTTGAACATTAACCTGCACATCAAAATGAACAGTGTTCAGTCTAATGTTATGTTTTTGTAGAAAAACTTTAGTACAAAAAAAGGTTATAATATGTCATTATTGATACCAGAACCGTTGCTTTTCTTTTTCTGTACAGTTTTTCATTTTGTCTAATGCTAACAAGTTTAACTAGATTTTTCTGGCTGCCAGAATAATTCAAGGGCAAAAGCATTAATTTAAGTATATATAAAATGACTAATTTTATTTTATATAATTTAAGAAATAAAAAATAAGAATTTCCATATTAACATCCACACTGCCCTCATTACATGTTTAAAGCAATATAATTAGAAACCTAAGAAGAATAAAATAATGTCATCTATTTGTAATTCTTGATTTCTGTAATGTTTAGATAGGTTACATTAATGTCAAGTTAACTAATCCTTTTACTATTATTCCGAGAGTATTTTGCAAACTTTTTTTTAACACAAAAAGTAAAAGCCTAAGAGAACAAAAGTAGGTCTATATAACTTTGCTTATCCAGACTTGCTAAGATGTTAAAAGATTTAAAAAGTTTTTTAAAATTGAAGGGAAACCTAAAACTCAAGAGCTTTATCAATGGTATATTCTCAAATAATTTCTTAATATGCAGAACCTGCTTCTAAAGTCTTATGCTATATTTTATTTTGAAATATAGAATCATGTTTTTGTATACATGGTTTAAATTCCAGGTAGTTGTTTAATTTATATAGAGCTTCCCATGTTTAACTTTTGGAAATTAAAACTGTCAGTGCTGAAAGAACATTTAAGCATATATATAGAAAGAAAAACAATAACTGGTAAAATTCACTTTTAAGTAAATAGAATTATTTTCAGTCATGTCTTTTAAGTTTTTAATTTGTGAGATATAAAATCTTTGCTCTCTAATACAAAATCTTGATCTTCAGGGATATAAGAACACAAAAGCAATTCAAAAGCCTATCGCTATAGGTCAATCACTTGAAACAGAAGCTACAAAATCTGAGTTGGTATCTCAGTTCTTCCATTTATTAGCTCAATCACAGTGTGCAATCACAGGTAAAATGGGATTGATGAGTTTTGTTTATCTTATAACAGTATTCTAAGGATTAAACAAAATTATGATTTAAAAAGTGCTTTGTAAGCTACAAGGCATTAAGTGAATGAAAAATTTTTAAATAAGAATTTTATCTAAGTGAGAAGCTATGATTTATGCAAGATATTCTTATCATTGACTTTTGTATGTAAGCCTAGTACCACTTTGGAATCATCGATTTAACCAACAGTAAGTAGAGAGTCTTTCTGGTCACCTCTCTGACAGATTAACAACCTGGAAAAAAAATGATCTACAGTTTGAGCTGTATTAGGGGGACAGTGTAATCACTAGGACAATTCTTAATACAAAGAGAGTGGAAACGTGATTCTGAAGAGGGGAAATATCAAAGGTACTCTTTATCAAGAGTGAAACTTTGAAATCCATCTATTTAAGATTAATCACTATTCTTTTAGTTAAGCTGTTGTCATCTCTAACTTCCCCTGAGTAGAAAATAATCTACACTTCCAACTAAGTTATTCATGGTCCAATTTGTTCTCAGAATACTATAATAGGCTTTGTGAAGATAAGTTTTATAATAGGGATTTAACATAGTGAGAAGCCAAGACAGAGGCCTTCAAACACAAAGAGTATATATATATATATAAACTGCTCTGTCCTTTCCCCCTCTTCTTCTACCCTCCCCATTCCTTCTCCCAAAAGGATATTCACCCCTACTTAAAAATCTAATTTTTACAAAGGATTCAGATGAAATGGCATCTCAACAACTTCACAGTACAATTGGTTTAGCCACTGCGGTGTTGCTTTTGAAGCCATTTTCAACAGAGCTGGGAAAAGGGGAGAACTCTGAGTAAAGCACTGGAAGAAGAAACACTGTGAATGGTTTTAAGAAAGAAAAACATTCATAATCTTTCCTCTTGGCAGTTCTGTCTTCTTGATGGCCACATTTACATACTGAGTTCATAGGCTAGAACTCTCAAAGAGAACTCTACTTTCTTAGAGAAAATAAAACATTCAGGTTGGCATCCTGGGGTGGGGGGGGGAAGGAAAAGGAAATAATCACTGATGATTTATACATATCATATTTATTTTCCAAGTTTCTGATATCTTAAACTGTTGAAAATACATAAAGTTATTCCGAGACACTATTTTTTTGTTTTATTCCTCTTTAGCTCTATGAGATGTAACTCTCTATATTTATAATTTTTCTCTCATTTTTATCCAAATGAGTGTATTGGCTTATTGCTTTACAAAGTAGAAATGTACCTTGAGTGCAACAAGTTTATCTTTATTCCACACTGTTGGGTTTTTTAAAGGTTCTTTATTTTTCCATTTTAAACACTTCAAAACACACATGCAAAATTTTAGTATTTAAAATATTAGAAACTCCTTACCTGTTAATGTGTTTTAATAACTAGTTTGCCTTTTCTGAACATATTACATTCCTGCTGTACCTATTTTGTAGCAAGTATGCCTATCTTATTTGCATATTTGTAACAAAGTATGTAAAGAGATAAAGATATGTGACCTATTTATATTCAAAACTGACTAGAAAACTCTACAAGTCACAGGAATTCTGTAACAGATATATATTTAAAACTTTTTCTAACAAAGATTTTTAAAAATTGTTTTTTAATGTGCTTTTAATGATTCCTAGCACTCACACCTCCTTACTTGCTTTCCAAACTGTTTATACTGTCCCCAATAACACTCAGTGGAAAGCTGTCATTCCTGGCTAAATCCTTACTTAGGGTGGATGCTATGCCTCCGTGAGACAGGGTCAGGGGGTCAAAATCGATTTTGGAGGCCACCTGGAGAGTCCAGGCCATGAACTGACTCGAAAAATTTATATCAGAGCCAGAATGGTCCACCTCCCAGGGTCAGATCTGGCCTGACACTCCAACCGCAGGCTGGGGCATGCTAGACCGAGCTCAGAGAGAGGCCAGGGTTGTTGACCCTGCCAGCTGACCTCTTCAAACTTCAGGAGAATTTTTTTGGCAGTTACCACGGTGACTGGGTACTCTAAAAGCTTATCCTTCTTACTGAATGGAGGGAAAAAAATTAGGAAAATAATATGTTAAAACCTACCTTGCAGAGATGCCTATCATGGTTAAAGTAAAAAAAAAAAAAAAAAAAAAAAAAAAAAAGATGGGGATGGCGGAAGGGAAGGGAGGTTATGGCCCTAAATTGTCTATGCCTTTGGTATTAATCACTACTGCTTTCCAAAAAAGAAAAAAAAAATTAGAATTTACAAGTCTTTCAAACTGCAAAAGTTGACATTTGGAGCAGATACTACTTTTTTTTGTTTCTTTTTTCTTCTTCTCTTTTTTGGTCAATAGCTGGCAACAATGTGAACAATGCATTAAAGTACTCTTTAAAACAATGCAATTTACTTGGAAATTCTAATATCTCCACTTTTCTTTGAGAATAATCAACTTTGAAATAAGATGCATCATAAATGTTAGTCTATTAGAGAAAAGATGCTGTAAATAATCATTTTGCCTCAAAATCATGCTCAATATTTTTTTTTCCTGAAAGAAAAGTGCCCAATTTTGCTTGACTTGAAATAATTAAATTAGGAGAAAAGCAAGAGTCTATTAGTATATATTTTATCTTTTACCAAATGACTTAACAAAAATAATGTATACATTAAGAACAACAAACGAAAATACTCTATGTATAATAAGAGAACACCAGGAAGAAAAAAATACCACGTGTACTTTATTTTAGAGTAATGAACATTAAAGCTAAAAAAGCCATAGAGTATTCTTCCATGTTAATACCAAATGTTGTCTTGTCCTAAAGTCTCACAACAATAGAAATACTTGCAGATAAAAATTTTAATTCCCCACGGGGTAAATTTATGCACATTATAAAACTATTAGTTGATTTTTGTTGATAGGTTGTAATACAAAATGCTTTCAAATGGCTCCTATGTGTGGCTTGAAATTAGATGAGAATCATAATAATTTAGAAGTATAATATACTTGAGTCATAATAATACTTGCTTTTAAAAATATCTGAGTACTACACAATGACTTTTTGTAAAATGAAATCATTGACTTTTATTGTTATTGCTCTATACCTCTTACTTCATTTTCTCATCTACTACTTATATGATCCAGGTCCTAGAAGTCTTGAAAGGACCTCCTCTACCATTTGGGTGCTGGCTCTGTGTATGTCTGTGGGTGTGTGTATATATAAATAATAAAGCATGGGTGAGGGGAGGGTGGATTTGCATTTTAGAAAGGAGTGGCTATATGAAAAAACAATGTCTTTGATTCAAATATCATTTTTCATCTTGACTCTAAGTCAAGAAAAAAATGAGACATTACAGAAATATAGTAATTGACGCTTCAAAAGTGAATACTAACATTTCAGAGGAATGTTTTAACCTAATCTTAAATGTTCATTTTGCTATGACCTATTTTGACTGTTTTGTAATAATCATTAAGTTCCTACAATGGAATGAACATAAAACCAAGTATTTATTAATTAATCTTAATTTGGTTTTTTTTTTTTTTTTTTGAGATGGAGTCTTGCTCTGTCACCCAGGCTGGAGTGCAGTGGCCGGATCTCAGCTCACTGCAAGCTCCGCCTCCCGGGTTTATGCCATTCTCCTGCCTCACCCTCCCGAGTAGCTGGGACTACAGGCGCTCACCACCTCGCCCTGCTAGTTTTTTGTATTTTTTAGTAGAGACGGGGTTTCACCGTGTTAGCCAGGATGGTTTCGATCTCCTGACCTCGTGATCCGCCCGTCTCGGCCTCCCAAAGTGCTGGGATTACAGGCTTGAGCCACCGCACCCGGCCACTAATTAATCTTAATTTTTAAAAGCAATGTGTAATTCAGGAATCATTTCCTTTCTCCTCTTGTGCTCCAAACAGCCACTGAAAGGCAAAGTCAGAGACATAGTTTGAGATGATCTTGCCATGCGATCCAATTACACTTTGCTAAAACACAGTTCTTTCAATTAGATAGTGTGGTTCTTGACATTTTGAAGTGGACAACCAGGTTGGTGAGTCACTTAAACTGTGGTGCCAGCTCACTGTCTATGATGAACTCGAACTGTCCTTCCCAGCTGGGAACTCTTGGCAAGCTTCCTTAAAGACCCAGTGGCTGGCAAAGCATGAGGAACTATCACACAGAGAATGAGGTCCTCCTTGGGTTTTGAAAACCGATGGTAGAAGTCTTAGAATGATGCAAGCCAGGTCACAATCTCCTAAACCACGAGCCTTATCTTGAATGAAACATTATTTCTAAGTTGGATCTGAAAAGGAAAAAAAGTTAAAGTATAAGGCAATGGTTCATTTGTACAAAAGAAAACAATGTCAAGTCTCTTAGCTTGGTTTCCTCCAGTCCAGTTCAGAATCTCTCCCAGAGAAGAACAAAAATCATTTTTTCAGTCTTTTGCATACATTTTTACTAAAAGGACTATGAAATAAATAAGTATTTTATTCAGAAATTTATGGATCTGGCTCTTCTCTTAGGTTGAAAATTCACAAATATGTTACAAAAGTACAGAATGTGGGGGCTGAAGAATCTAAGAGATTGTCTAGTCTCATGTTTTTACTTTACATATGCAAAATCTGAAGGCCAGAAGCATGAACTGCCTTACACACAAAATACTAGTTAGATGCCTGAACTAGAACCTAGATCCTGGCTGGCATTTCTAACCTAGTATCTTCTCTACTATAATATGTAGCCTTTTCACTAGGGTAGAGAATATTAAAAGCCCATACTAGTAGACATATTCAAAGCCTTAGAGACAGAGTCATTCTGGGGCAAGGATATAAAATGGTTGCAAATGATTCAAATTTCACTTCCAGGAAACAACTTTAGGTACCACATAAGCAGAAATGTGCTATTGGAAACTTCAAATTTCTCAGGAACTTATGTCTTATGGTAACAAGGGCATGTTGTTAATATTATTTCTCCAGCTAATTGTTTTTATTGATCTGTTGTGGTTAATAAGCACTGACTAGTTTCTGTAGGTATGGAGTCCCCATTCTACCAGGTTTGTAATTGAGTAACAAGAAGTGGGGCTTTGGTGTTGGTCTGTCTCTGCTACCAGTATTATGAAAAAGTCTATCCAAATAACCATGAGCTACGTAAGATAGGAGGGCTGCCAGTCCAGGAAGGCTTGATCTAGTTTTTATTTAACGTTACTCTAATTTACTTCAGGTTTAACTTATATCTATTAGGATCAATGGATCTTAAAAATGAAGTTAAAAAAAAAGGACGGTATAAAAATGTGCAATTAATTGCGGATACCCCAAACTGCGACTTGTCTACTGCATTCAGTTGTAATGGTACTTTTTTTTTCTTTTTTTTTTTTTTAGTCACTGTCTAGCTCTGTTGCCAGGCTGGAGTATAGTGGTGTGATTTTGGCTCGCTGCAGCCTCTGCTTCCCGGGTTCAAGCGATTCTCCTCACTCAGCCTCCCAAGTAGTAGCTAGGCGCATGCCACCATGCCCAACTCATTTTTGTATTCGTAGTAGAGACGAGGTTTCTCCATGTTGGTCAGGCTGGTCTTAAACTCTTGTCCTCAGGTGATCCACCTGCCTTGGCCTCCCAAAGTGTTGTGATTACAGGCGCGATCCACCACACCCGGCCTTGTAATAGTACTCTCTATTAGTGTATTTCTAGTGCTGTCTCAAAGTTCCCTTTCTAACTTCTCATGGCATTTTGAAAAAATCATGATTTAATTCTGAAAATTTACTGGGGGACTCCAAAAGAGAAAAGGGTAAGGAATGAGAATTTGAGAAGAGAAGGAAAAGTATTAGGTATGCTGAGGGGCCAATCAGTGGCTCTCTAGGGAAGGAGGAGGGTGTTTAACAAGATAGTTATACGTGATTCAGAGGTGAAGGCAAGAGTAGTCAGGTAGTCCTTAACTCCCATCTAGAATTTCAAAGAAATGCCGTTTCCTTTCCATAGATTCAAGAGGGTATTTATTAGTTAAGGGAGGCATATTTTGGTACTAATCACATGTTAAATTTTGGGAGCAGGGAATAAGAAACTCCTCTGAGGGTGAGTCTGAATAGCATTTGCTGGGCAACCTTCACTCAAAATGTGCGGATGAGGCACAGCTACCTAGGCTGTACATTCACATGTATTTTTCCATTTCTCAAAATATTTTAGTTGTCTTGCCTTGGCCCAATAGAAGACTTCCCCACCCAAAGGAAAAAGAGGTGTTAAGGAAAGCTTCTTGGTAGAAGGGAACTTTCAGATATACAAATCTTTTTTTCTTTTTCTTTTTGTTTAGACCGAGTCTCACTCTGTAGCCCAGGCTAGAGTGCAGTGGTGCGATCTTGGCTCACTGCAACTCCGCCTCCCGGGTTCAAGCAATTCTCCTGCCTCAGCCTCCTGAGTAGCTCGGACTACAGGCATGCACCACCACACCCAGCTGATTTTTGTATTTTTAGTAGAGATGGGGTTTCACCATGTTGGCCAGGCTGGTCTCGAACTCCTGACCTCAAGTGATCCACCTGCCTTGGCCTCCCAGAGTGCTGGGATTACAGGCATGAGCCACTGAGCCCGGCCTATTTTCCTTTTTAGAATCAAGGTTTGAGAAGTCGGTGAGCTAAGCAGAAAAGAAAATGAGGAATTATGAGATTAAAGTATGAGAACTTTCCCCTAGGTTTGTACTTGAGCTCCACCCCAGGACCAGGAAGGCTGTACTTCAGGAGCAATGCTAATTAAGGGAAGAGCTCTGGTCTTATCCACTTCTTGGCCCACCTTAAAACTTTCCCAGAGCTGTTCCTGCAGTGTTCCATTCTAGATACTCTCCACAGGACTCTTGTGAGAAGGGCACAGCCTCCGGCAACCTGACCGACATCTCCTTGCTGCCAAAGCACTGCCGCTGGAAAGGAGGCCCACCCTTTTGGCATCCTTCATAGGCCCCTTAGGAAATTGTTAAAGACAGAAACTTTGAAATTGAATTTTAATGATTGTCAGGAAATAAGGGTGAGGTATGGCAGCTGCTCCGGAGCAGCTGTCCCAGCTGTCCTATCCAAGGGACAGGCCTGCTTTTTGGCCACCATCTTCCCCTACCCCCGATGAGAGGAAGGGAAGAGATTGGACCAAAAGGTAAAGGTTTCAACTTTGAGGGCGCTGATTCAGGACCCATATCCACAAACAGAAAACTAAAAAGCAAACAAACAAAACAAAGCAAAAGACTTACAACTTCAGAGTCTCAGTTCCAGGCTGCCCAAGTGAATTGTAGGTCCAAGACATTAACTTTTGTAAAGGATAAGGGGGTGGCTGGGCAGAATATGGAGGACCCCCTACTTCTTATACATAATTGCTCACCAGGGAAAGCACAGCCACAAAGAGGGCTGTGAAGGGCCCCGGGGAGAACGGGAGAGCTTGTAGAAAGAACCAGTTTCTCTTCTGGATCCAAATGGTCTGTGCTTTGGGGTGACTGCAGTTGGATTAATGCTCTGTTTCCTTCTGTCTGCCTGGGCTGTGTCTAAATGAAAAGCAGACCATAGCATAATGCTGTCCCATCACCACTTTTCTAATCCCAAAACTCAAGTGCCTGAGAGTGAAACTTCACAAAAAAGTTATTGCCAGCAACAAATTCAGGCTGACAAATTGTCAATAATCACACCTTCAACATGCTGGATGACTTTCAGGCAATAAATAAGCAGATGCAAGAAGAGCTGCTGGCTGGGTGGGCAAGATGCAGGCCACAGCCTAGGCTGCAGTTTTCCCAATGTGTCCCCCCACAACAAGGGAATGCCTTCAGTGTGAGGACTGCAGGGCGCCTGCTTGCTTGCTCTAGCTCTTGCTCCCTTTCTTCCTGTCACTCACATAAACTGCACAGAGGAGCTTCTCTCTTCCCTCTCCTCCAGTTAACCCTTCTGGGTTTGTGTTTCTATGGTCTCAAGCACCCTTGATTTACAGTCACATTACCCAGGTTTGCTTTTGATTGAATTCCTGGGCCCCTGGAATGTATTAGACATCTAGTTACTTCCATATACCTGTACATTTTCTGTGACAGATAAAGAATTAACAATATAAAAAATAACATTTTTACCTGTGAATGCATTTGAAAAATGAATGCATATTATATCAGTTAAAAACTTAAGACACATCTGAAAGACATCTTTCAAGGTGTTTGCAGGTTAGTGCTTCTATAATCACCCACATCTGTCTGTCCTCCAGCACACACACAGTCACAAGAGTGCTTTTTGATTTGTCTTTCCTGTTTTAGACTCACTCCGTGCTTTAAATTTAGGAGCAATTTTAAACACATACATGGATCCAAATATGCATTTATTATATAAGATATGATTTCTTGCCTAGTTTACAAATACAGTTACCCGATCATAACACTTCAAATTAAATTATTAGTCACAGCCCTCCTGGGAGGTTGATTTAACTACAGAAGTTTGCGTTCAAAATTTAATTCACACTTCCATTTTCTCTAACTTGAATTTTGATTTCTGTATTTAAATACAACACAGCACTTGAATTAAGGGTCTTCTTGTTAAACTGGAGGCTTTTCTAATTTCTCTGAACTCTATAGATGAACTGCATTGTCACATAATCGATAGGAAAATCTCAGCTGTCACAGATCCTAAGCAACCCTCTGCTACAGAAATAACACGATCTGGCATTTCTGAGTTTGAAAATGTGCTGTTTGGATGACATGAGACCAGAACTACCCAGACGGCTTTAAATATTGTGGTCTCTAAGAAGTGCTGAGGACTGACCTGCTGAGAATGACTGAAATACTTCCAATAGGCTTTTCTCCTGGTTAGAGACCAAGTGTTGCCTTTTTTTTCTTCCATAAATAAGTAATGCAAGAGCCAGCGTATTGGTATCTGAGATTCAAAGCTGTTTCTAGGCTCAACTAAGTTTGCTGCCATACAGTTTATATCAGAATTTCAAATTAAGTGTTTCTTTCCCCAAACCAATAAGCAATTCAGGCTTGGATTTTAGAGTCCAAATCTGAAACTAAACACCTGTCCTTTGAAGCTTTAGATCATTTCTATCAACATGAGCAGGGTTTCTGCAGTAGATAAATCCTTCAGCTCAAAAGAAACTGAATGGCATCTGATCATAAATAATATGAAACCATAAAACTATAGCAAACCATTTCTTTGCCTCAATGCCACTGTTTCTTGCTGAACTCTCAGTATTGTCTCTACAATCTGCCACACACAAATGTCGCTATATCACATGAGAGCATGAGGAAGATGTATCCATATCTGTATCCTCTCCACTTTTGTCTATAATACACTACTCTGCTACTCTTAAACTA